ATATATATATATAATATTTACTTTATTATAAATTAAATCTTTTTAATTTCCTGCAAAATGCGCGAATGTTTGGTGCAGCAAATAATAACGTCGACTGCTGCGAAGAAAATATTTTGTGTATTTCGGAATATCGTTGAAGTATTTAATCTGTATATATATTATATATATATTATATATATATATATATATTCTTCGCGTGCCGCTTTCGTTAGTTTCTGAAAGTATATTGCCAGAATTCCATTCTTACTTCGAACTTTTGGGGAGGGGGGACGTCAAATAATGCGAGTTTCACCATTACGCGAAAAACATTCACCGAATTCCTGCGATGTTCACATTCTCAAGGCGCTGCGAATTCCCGCCGGTGGATCACATATTTCGCGATCCAGCGGCGCAGTTTTGGAAAACCTCTGCTTCCAGCAGCGCGGCCAGAGTATTGCGTTTTGCAAGGTGATACGCGGACATGATATTAAACGTGCAGGATAAAATGCACGCTATGTATGATACGATGCCATACGATATTACATAGGTATTCGGCCGTTGTTGATCTCGCGCGGTGGGGTGCTCCAATCGCGTGATCTGTCCGTAAATCGCACGAATTTTAATCTTTATTCTTGAATACACGTTCTCTTAAAAACGGGTCTCGAAATTAATATTTTATATTCTTTAAACGACGAGAGAAAGATAGTAGAAGTGCCGGGAACGCCGGGGATCAAAGGTATTTAAATATTCGCTTTAGAGCAAAAATATTTGCACAGAACGATTTGTTTGACAGACTTAGAACAGACTTAGCTTAAGTATGTCAGATTAAGTAAGGATATTGCGCAATTACGGTTCACAGAGGACGAAAAGCGTTCATATCGTGCTCGCGCGCTTCCTCCGTAGCTTTACCCAACACCATAACGCCCGGAATAGCGTTTTAATCTCAAAATATATTATTCGGAAATTAAAGGGGCTCGACGAGACAAACCGCCGCTGTGCGGTAAGGAGCTAGTTTTAAGATCGTCAAGAGGGAGACTCACCGTAATTATGCGCGATTGTGCGCTGCAATTAGCGGAAGCGGGTATTAGATTTTATTTGTTATAAAATTCAAAGGAGAGATTTTAAACGAGTATAATACGTAATGTGTTACATAAGAGGATATATTATAAGTGATGCCATACATGACTTTATCTCCTGATGAATTTTACAACACGTCGTTTTAAATGCTAACGCGGCACGATATTCTCCACCTTATTTTTGTCAGTTATTTTTAAATACGTGGAAAAATATCAACGAGTTGCAGAACACACGGTAGTCTTTCGTGCTCGTTGCGCGTTTAAAGCCGAAGTAACTGTCGCGCCAGAGCAGCGACACAATTAAAATGTCCCCGCGCGTTACAGCGGCGGCGCTTTCCGAGTTTAATCGTCAAACTCCCGCGAGCCTGCCTGTATAACTTTACGTTACCGAGTGACTCTATTCTCGGACTACAATTCGACAACGCGGCGGTGCGTCTTAAACGGGCACAGCCTGGTGAAGATTTGCGACGCCTTAAACGACACTAAGCGGCGAAAGTTTACCGCACGGAGGCCGGGCTCCGCCTTCTCGTTCCATCATGCGTCGCCGAGAGCAAAACAGAATCGGCCGTTATTCTCTTTCTTTCCTTGCAGGCGTTCGAAACGAGAAGCGTATCTCATTCAGACGAAAGAATTTATTTAGAAAAATGTGACGCGGTACGGAATTCGCGCCTGCGATTTTGTCTCACGAGAGAGCTGTGTCTATCCGGTGAATAATCTTGCGTCGAAGTGAAGAAATTGCTGACCAAGATCCTAATAATCATAAGAACGATGACAAGTTTCGGTTGTACGGCGCAAAATAAGATTAATAAAATTCTGATTTGATTTCTGGCGCAGAGTGACGCTGCTGTTACAAATCTTATCTGATGTATCTGATCTTAGCTGATGTATCGCCGGAAAGCCGAAGGGGGGGGGGGGGCACCTGCCTCCGGCCGTGACGTAAGAATAATTTATTTTAATAATGTCAAGATACAAGCGCCACGTCACGTAATACCCTAATGTAATTTTGCGTCACGTATTACGTTGGCCGGCTAAATTTCGTCGCAAACAAGTTCGCTCGCGCACGGCCGGCGCGGGGAGGCTTGCCCGCATCACGAGGCAGTTATGAGTAAGTGGCCGGAGCAGAAGGGGGCGAGCATGGGAGGTCGAGCCCTGGTGTGTGATGTAGGGTCCTCTCTCCGCGTGTTGGTACATGTGAATGTTAATCAGAATGGGATTTACATATGAGGCTCGTATTACCTGGTAGTCGGGCAGATGCACCGGGAGGAGAAGATAACGGCCTCCAGAGAGAATGGAGAAACAGAGAGAGACAGAGAGAGCGAGAGAGAGAGAGAGAGAGAGAGAGAGAGGGGGGAGGGATGAGGTTCAGGAGGTGAACGGATACGTTGGTGTGCGCGGGCCGCAAGAGTCACACACAGCCTATCTGTAATAACGTGCCACGTAAGACATAATTATATATCACGTCGGGATTATTGCCGCATTTACACTCCGCTGCGCCAACAATAAGGATTCGACAATGTTCGCCCCGGTATTACGTAACTGAGGAGGGTGC